AATTCACTTTGAGTACAGGGAAGTCTGCTGGTAGGAATTCCTCAGGGCGTATTACGGTTTTTCACCGAGGGGGTGGATCGAAGCGATTGCAGCGAAGAATTGATCTGAAACGAAGCACTTCGTCTATAGGCATTGTAGAAAGGATAGAATATGCGCCTAATCGTTCTTCTCGAATCGCTCCAGTACGATGGACCGGGGGGGGGTCCGCCAGAGAAAATGCAACACGATAGAAGAGTTCGCTCCGCCGCGTAAGATCCTCGAATCAAAATCAACCACGACTACCCTCTGCGGTCCATTTTCGTTCTCTTCCCTGCCCGGGAAGGGGGATCAAAGAAAGGTAGCTTGCTTCTCTCCTGGACGGATGGCGACTTATGTAGTGGTCGGCCTTCCTACCAGAATGCCTTCTTGGTCGAAGAGCCCCTTTTTTACTAGTAAGGACGCAGGAAGCAAAAAAACTTGCGCGAAGGACGTTTTCTTCTCTGCCCTCTCCTCTCCAAAGGCCAAAGGAGAGACTGCATCCCTTTCCTTCGGTAGCTCTTTTGGTTTCCCAAGGATAGCGGTAGCTGGGGCAAAGCCCGCTTTCTTCGCTCCGCGAATGAGAGAGAAAGTCAGAGGAAAAAACACGTTCTCTCTTTGCGAGATCCGAAAGTGGAGAACGCATAGCATTCTATGGGTACATAGGATCAAACGTAAAGCAGCGCTCTCTTGGCAGAGTTTTAGGCGGCAAGAGACTTTAGGGCTTGTTGGAGCTTCTGAGCGTAACGAATCGAAGCCGAAGACGGATCAAGGTAGCTTGCCTGCCAAGCCGATAGGCGAAGGGCTGAAGGATGGAACGCGCAAAGTAGATCGTGCACCTGTCGTGTGACCCGTTGGTCCTAAGCAATGTCTTGCGCGAAGCGACCCACTTAGAAAAAGCCCCCCTTTATGTTAAGGGAGCACTAAAATGCAACTTCGATCGGATGCGGGTATCAAATCCCGCCGCTGAGATGTCCAGCGGATTCCTGGGCCTTGACGAATGGCCGGCCACCTTTTACGTTAGAAGAGCAAAAGGCCCAGGGCATAGCAGGATGAACCAATGTGAATGAGTGTAAGCTTCGTTGCCCGAACACGATTGGTGCTGACCACACTAGGTGCTACCGTGGTAGCAAGAGAGGCCAGGCGGTGACAATTGAGAGGTTGTCACTGAGCATTCCTAGTCACACGGGAAAAGAGGTCAAATGGCAAGGCAAGGCCATACGCCCGTTTGGCTCCTCGCGGAGTATAGCTCACATCCAAACATCTGATTGGGGAACGGGGCAACGCCCATGAAGCTCCGGCGGAAAGGGAAGGCCTGCCAGGCCGTATGCCCATGGGTGCAGGATTCTTCGAAAAAGCGCGGGCTGACTCGGAGACCTGGGACCCTGGCTTAGTAATGAATGAAGGGAAGCTCTTCGAGCTTTCTCCGCCAGCGGCTTATGTAGTGGTCGGCCTTATAAAGCTCGCTAAGCCTCGCTTCCCTCTCCCCTTCACTTATTAAGTGGAAAATAGTCGTCGGCATTCTATAAGCGACTTGACCGAGTCTACGAAGCTTTGCTTTTCTTGTAGTCGGCCCGTAATGCCTCCCTTCATTTGCTTGCCTCCTTTCAGCTCAGAATGCCTAATGCCTATTATTTAGTGCTAGAAGCTAACCGCCATAAGCTCACCCTTCAGGTCTCGCTTCCAGCGCAGGAGGCCAAGCATTCTGCCAGACGTCCCGGCCTGGGAGCCCCGTTCGCCTTTGGTACTTCAGTAGATCTTCTAAAAAAAAAGCGCTACTTCAGCCTTAACTACAACTACATTACGCAAGCCCCGCCGATACCTACCTATAGAGTAAAATTCTAATAAAAAAGTACCAGTGACGGCGACTTTCTAGGTTTATGGATTCAGTCAGCTAAACTCCATCAAACTCCTCAATCAATATCAACAAGATGTCGTGACCGCTTAGGCTTGGTTTACTTTGGTTTGAATGTAAACTAAAATAAGCGGCGTTTATTCAAACAAAGGGAGCCGAAGGTTTCCTTGTTTAGTAGTACGAAAGTAGTTCTACTATTAAGATGTTTAATATATATAAGAAATATATAGTGTTGTAGCTGTAGAACAGAATGACGTTCGCCCTTACTTTGACTTTCTGAGAAGGACTTAAGTAGCTAAGTTTCCAAAGGCGAACACCCCCCTGTCCTTTATAGTATAGTCGTAAGGGGCTTCTCAGAAAAGTAAGGAAGAAGGCATTCGAAAGGCCGACCACTACCACTATCTCATAGGCATTCTGGTGGTAAAACCGACGACTACACGGCTCTATACCAAGTCATGAGCGATAGCGAAGCCAAGCCGCCGTCTATAGGCGAAGGGACGAAAGCCCGACGAAGGCCTATGCTACAGTAAGCAAAAAAGTAGGTTGAGGTTATGAAGTCACTTAGCCGTATACTATACAAAGGGAAAGGCGTCGGTACGGAGTCACGTCAGCTGTGGATATAGACTAGGCTATAAGGAACGGAGTCTTAAACTATGGACCGAGACTACACTAAGGAACAAGGAAGCTTGACTGAGAAAAGAAGTCAAGGAACGAAGCAGCTTCTCTAATAGCCCCGTTGAATAGGCGGGCGAAGGCTTTTTGAAAAAGTCTTTTTTTTCTTGTAAATGCATTTTTTTCTATTTAGAGAGAGGGGGCTTCAAGTTCTTAGGAAGAGCCGTACGAGACAGCTCACGTACGGTTCGGGAGCCGAGCCCCTGCGCAGGGGCTTAGGTCAACACTTATATAATAGCCAGTCATCAATTGGAGGCGGGCAAGATGGTGATGAATTGCGATTGGTCTAAACCTTCGACTAGCGACTTATTGCGGCCTGCCCAGAATGCCCATACAGACTAAGACCTTATTCACACAGCGAAGAAAGGCCGAGTGGAAGGGGGCAGTCAGCTGGCTGCTTCTTTGCCATGCGCTTTGCTTCGCTTTATTTTTTAGAAGAAAGAGACCAAATGAGAGTGAAAGGCAAGGGCAAGCGATAGAAAAGTCCCTCGCGCGAACTACTACTACTAGAAAATGGTGAGACCATTAGTGAAAGAAGGACCAAACCAAGGAGGATCCTATCCTAAAGGAGAAGGAGGAGTAGGAGGAGTCAGTTTTCTTTGAAGATCGAGGAACGTAGTGTCGGACAATTATGCCATTCGGAAGAAGTCTTCTACAGAAGAAAAGCCTGTTACGAGTAAGTGGAGAGGAAAGATCTCCAGAGATTCTTATCTCATTCCATTCCAGTGGCTCAACCAGTAACCAATGGCGAAAACTCAAAAATCCATGGTTTCCCGGTAGAACCCTATTTCGCCCAAGTTGTTTCGGAACCGGAAAAAAGAAGCGGTTTTTCGCACAGCTTGCTCATAGTGCAGGTCCCACTTGTATATCGTATTTGGCCGAAGAAGCATCGGACAGGTTGGAGTTCTTACCTTCTTGGGACTCCATGGACCAAGATCTGCTTTTATTATATGGTCAATACCGATCTACTTTAGTAGATCATATGGATGTAGAAAAAGCAACTAATTTGGATGAAATAGAAACATCTCTTTTCCATTTCTATTTACCCAGTTCATATCTTTGTTTCGTGTGTTCCTGGGAGGAATTCGATCTCGGAATACCACCTAAATAACTACGGCCAGAGAGTCAAATAGGTCGGGAAGAAAGAGTCTGAGGTCGGGTCGGACGACATACATCTTGGTTGGTTCCACCACCACTAGAGATTGGACATATATATAATCTTTCTTCTAAAAAAGGGATTCTTATATATATATTTTGAAAATAGCTGCAAGACAAAAACCGAAAGCCCTTCTTTTATTGTTGTTCCTCCCAGATACATGGCTTACATACCCGGCTCAACATTCTTGGAAAACAATCGAATCGAGGGTTCGGGAGCCTATAAGTGGAACGTTTGCTATGCTATAAGGACTGTGCGCCTACCCGGATTGGCTTCGCTATCGCTCCCGTGTAGGGGTCGGTCTATCCCAAAAAAGGGGTCCTCCTATCTGAAAGGGATTCCGAAGCGAGCGAGTTCCCTATTCCGTATCTCGGCCATCTTATCTGCAAGGGCGGCTTCCTCCGTTTCTGGTTTGCATGTCTTTCATTCTGAATTGCCTCCTTTGACTCGTGCATGCTTGCGTTTAGATAGGTTAGATACTTCTTATATTAGGAGAATTATTGTAAAGGAGTAGTAAGGGAGTGAAACCCCGATCTAATCTTACACGTGCGAGGACAGTCCTCTGAATAGAGTCCATTGCATCCCACAATAATCGACGGGCAGCCCTCGTACATTTAGCATAAACCGCTGAAAACTCGAAAGTCTGTCCACTCTGAGTGGGCAGAGCCTTATTACCTTATTAATAGGAGGGATGCAAGGAATTGATGCTACGAATGCCATAGCAAGTGAATCAGAATAAGCCCTAGCCCAGCTACTGATTGGAAAGTCTTATCGTCATCTGTATAAAGCATTTATCTACAGGTTTTTCACTTTTCATTCATTGAATGACTTGATTCCCAAAGGATGAAGGAAAACTTCTAGTGTACCCAGTTGCAGGTCATACACTATATCTTGCACACGAGATAGAAAAGTAAGAGTTCGGAGAGTTGTCTGACAACCTTCCCAGTTCCCGCTTCGGTTCCAAGAGAAAGGAAGGGGCTGATCCGATAGTGCGTGCTGGCCGGTTCGATACTATACTCCTTGCTTTCAGAGCTGGAAAGAGCGAGTGGAATAAACGAAAGGAGTTGAACGAAAAGATACGTATATCTTCGAGCTTGAAGTGAACGAACGGAATACTTGAAGTGAGTCTAACTAGTATAACGAGTAAGACAACGAGTACTAGAGCTCCCTACTCTCAGTGGACTACTTATAGGAGGATAGGGAAAAGCTGCGTGCAGTTCAAGAGAGATCGACCAAAATCAAAGGGGGGATAGAGCAAGGGCTCCACGCTCAAGGGACGGGCTATTCTACATAATACGGATAGGCGTATAGCCTTTTTCTTCTTACGATCCTATCGTTTCTGCTTCAGCGGAATATTCTGATTCGGCTTTAGCTGCTTCGTCTGTATCTTCACATTATTCAAATGATCCTGAAGCGGACCTTTCCTTTGTGTTTGTTGTAGCTCGCCCTTACTTAGCTTCCTTCCCTGAGCTAACCTCCCCTACCACGTTTCTATATGCCATTAGGAGAAGTCAGTCTGCGCAATCCGCAATCATGAACCCGGCTCTGCACTAAAGAAAGGTGCGTCTGTATTCACTTTCATTCAGAACAAGCAACGGCTGAGCTACCGCGGAAGCCTGTGTGAACAAGCACCGAACGGTGTGAACAAACACCGGCCGGCTTCTTGCCGGTGTGCGTTAGTGAAGCTAATAGTTCGGATGCGCATACGTTTTCTTGCTCCGTTTCCTTGGTACCCGAACCGGAGAACTATCCACAAGACCGCTTCATGCTCCAAACTCGAGAAGAAGCTTTCGAAGGCGCGTGTACCATTACTTGTACTTGTTATTCCACTAGTGATTTTTGGCAAGATCAATATATAGTGATCAGTTATGATTGCTCAAACTACGGTACATAGTTTCAAGTTAGGCCTTACTTCAGTCTGGTCTCCTCTCCCAGGTCTCAGCTTCAGGCTCCCACCGAAAAACGTATGAAAACGGCAAGGCAAGCAAATGCACGAACGTATTGGAGGCTTTCTCTCATAAGAATCTTATTTTCATCAGTATACGCCTGATCGGCGAGTTCAGTCACACCTATAGGTCCGCTACTTCAAAGGCATCGCCTCACTTAGATCGCCGGGGTTGGAGCTTCTTCGACCTCTAGCCATGACGCTCCTCCCTTACCTTGGGCTTCAGTAGGTTTCCTATGCTAGTGAATCAGATCTTTGGCTTTACCGTGTTACTATTCGGAGAATGGAGGTGATCTCTCTCTATCTTCAGTCAGTCATTTCTACCGGCTCCGGCTAACTTCCTTTAGGAAGGAAAGCAAGTCCCATCGATTGAGCTGTTGATGGAATAAGGGCTGCTTTCAAACCTGAAAGAGGTCCAGGTCTTGGAATCGGGCTAGGAGCAGCTATTGAATTTGTCCAGTCGAAAGGGAAAGGCGATGACTATCAGTTCTGACTCTTTTTCCAAAGGAAGCGAGTGGAATATAAGACAGCGAGTAAGGGAGTGAGTCTGTCCAAATAAGCTCTTAAGAAGCGGAGTTTCACTCGACAAAAAGGGTTTGGACTGAAACCATTCTCAGACGGAATCGACTGACTTCTAGTTGCATCGGATCTAGAGATCTGTTGCCAGTTCCGATAGAAGGAAAGGAGTAAGGTTTAGGCTTTACCCAATAGTTGTTGAACCCGAGGTTGGTAATAAACTGAAGCTGCTCAGTCTTCTAGCATAGCGGAGTGAGATATATCGAAGAATGAACTTAGCCTTCAACCACAAATGGGGTCCTTTAGGCAGCCGATTGCCCGTTTGCTTCCACTGGCTTACGTCGTGAAAACCCGTCAATGAAATAATGAAATGAAGAGAGGGGCTTTTCCCATCCTATGAGCCCTGCGAGCTCACGAGTCGTCAGTCACTCGGAGGATTTTATCGACCGGAACGCAGCGACGAAGGGCTTACCCCGAGACCTAGCATCGTCGAAGGTCAGGCTTAGGGCACGAGTTCTAAAGTGAATCATAGGGGGTCGCATATATAAATCAGGCTTGTGCAAGCAAGGGACACTTTACTTCAAGCGAATAGTGCTGCCTCGCTTTAGCTAGGCTGAGAATACGATTTCCGACATTGAACTTCAAAAGAAAGGAGGAGAAGACGATCTGCGGCTGCAAGTGTGCATGAAATAGCGCGTATATAAGAGCTGTTTGAATGGGTTGTGTCAGCCTTTTCCATGTATTGCAATTGGCAGATCACAAAAGGCAAGCAAGGCCATTTATCTTATCGTTGGATGCGCAAATCCCCTCTTCGCCCAAGGAATGCTTACCGAAGGGAAATGTTAACTACTTGAATAAGAAGACCGGAGTCTACCTTCGCATTAGGAGTTCCCTCATTTCAGATTATGTAAAGTACCCAAGGGCGTAAGCCTTTCGGCTGGTTTAAGATGATGAGAAAGAAATGAAAGCCCATTTCGGGTTGATTCGATTCCCCCGCTTGCCCAGGAAATGAGTTGCGTAGCGGTTACCTTAGGGTTAGGGAGGGAATAGCCTTTCAGTCTACTAGCAGCAATTCCATAGCTACCTGAAAACACACTTTCTTTTTTTCTTAAGCATCCCGCCTATTCCTTAATGTTAGCTCAGACACTAGGCAATAGAACGAAGTTAGTTCCTAATTCCCACAGTTTTTGCAGTGCTTCTTCTACCCATCTCGATCAAAAGCCCCTTCTTTCCTCGTCCGAGGGACTTTTTCTTTAGAATTTCTTAATAGAAAGAGGAAATCCGCTGTTCGGAAGAGAATACAGAGAATCCGCGAGGAGCTAGAAGAAGACCGTTGCTATCCGGCTATCTAGAAATTCAATGTATGAATAAAGGGGCTTTTAAGCGCTTCCCTCGTCTTAGAGCTGCGTATTCAATTCGCATCAAAAAAGTGAGAAGGATTTGCTGCCGTTTAGAAGCACAACATGATGCATATCCGCTCTTAGTACAAAGACGTGCAAGACTTTTGCCACGAAGAGCTTCTTGCTCTCTAGGCTTGAAGGCGGCAATCTAGCTTCTATTGAAACAAAACGAAGGAACTTCCGGAGTGAAGGTTCAGACTTAAGGCTAAGGCAGCGAGTGAGCCGAGGAGAGGTTGAGTGAAATCAGCAGCTAGCCTTTTCGGAATAGGAATGCCCGATGTTCTTGCTCTTCTTCAGTCTTCTTAGGATGAAGCTTTCACTGGAATTTCCTACTCTAAGTTCAGTGACCTGGCACAATCTAATTATTAATTAATAGAACCCAGAACAGGCTCAAGGCCATCTCTTCCAACATTTTCTTACTTCTATCCCTTTGAATAGCAAAGTTGCCCGCGTCTCGTAAGGCCAAGAGTTCTGTCATTCCTCTCTGTCAACTCGAAGTCTAAGGCAAGGAACTTTCAATTCCATTTTCTTTTCTTTTCATAGGCTCTTTTATTGAGACCAAATCGTTTCTTCTTTCAAAAGAGTTCCCCCCCTCCCGCTATTACTACTACAAAGAGACTAGCCGCGGCAAGAGATGAAATAGGACCGGAGTCGTTCAAAGCGAAAGAAGTTCCGATCACAGACAGCTTCTAAAAGAAGAGAAAAGAGAAGAGGGGCAAGGGCGGCAAGACCAGAGAAGGAGCTAAGACCGCTTAGGCCTTTTACTAATGCCCCCACACTAAAAGAGAGAAATCTATGTAACTTTGGATCTTAGCAGCAGTTTCCGAAAAGACTAGTAGCCCTTATTCCTTGCATCAACAGGCAATCCCGCATAAAAGAAAGGCTACTGACTTGGCTGATTCAACAAACAAGGGAAAAGGGCATCCATTCAAACAGCTCCCATTCCTATGTTGACACCAAGAAAAAGAAACCCTGGAGCCTTCCTCTCTATCCATTCCTTTTTCATAATCATAAAGGATGGAAATGCTTAGCTTACTAAACCAGCAACAGCGGAGTAAGCTCCCATATCCGTGAAGGACTGCTTTCCAGCAGAGGAAAACTTCTCGTTGCTGCGCTTGCCGTTAAAGAGTAAGATGCTGATTCTATAGCAGCTCCGATTCCTTCACCGAGAACAAGAAGGAAGTCTTATAGAACGAACAAGCGCTAAAGAAGGGGGTGGGATCTCTCCTAAAAGAAAGAATTGACCTCGAGCCTGTCCTACTCATTCTCCCTTTCCCGTTCCTGACCCTGAGTGTGGAGGGGTTAGCCTTGAGCCAGGTCTTGATTGTTTATTCCATTTTGTCAGTTTAAGTACTGGAATGGGAGTTACAGATATTCATTCCTAAACTATGTCACCGATTGGTGACCTGATCCCGCTAAGCAAGAACAGCTACCGACACCAACTCTATCTTAACGACCGGTAAAGCCCTCTCTCTAGGATATGGCACTTCACTGCTCGGAGAGGAATGAATTCTTCTCCAAATCATCTCTTCCTTTATTTAAGTTAAGAAAGAAGTCAATTACGTTCGAGCTTTTTGTCAACTGATTCCACTCAAGCAATAGAAAGAAAGGCTATCTCCTCTAATCTCTAACTATGCTGAGTTCAATCAAGCTAAGAACTAGTCGACCTCCTTACTTCTTTACCGCTCCTTCCCCTCACCCTCAAGTCACGACCTAATGTAAGTTCTTTCAGTCCTTTTCGAGCTAGCATAGCTGCTGATATGGAATAGCCCTTCTCTAGCCTGGAGCCTGGAAAAGCAAAGTCCGATCTACGATACGCCATAACCATCCACCCCGTCCCGAGCCTCGTTTGCTAAGCGGGCTCATAGTCCAAGCCTCTTGGTCCGAGGAAGGGGAACCCCATCGTGCTGGCTTGGCATGGAAGGAGGGCTACCCAAAAAGTCTTTTTCGCAGCTTGGTCCGCGTAAGCTCAATGCTTATGGCTTTACCCAGCATTGCTGCTCTTCTTACTATGTCT